GGCAAAAGAAGACGCAATAATTCAAGAACTTCTCCAGAATATAGAGAGCTTAAAAAAATAAACTAATTGACTTATATAAAGATAGTGAAAAGAGTGTCAGTACCACTGGAAATATGTCGAGTCCCGTCGCCAATTATCCTGGCCCACAGCCTATGGGTTCGATTCCTCCTCAATTCAACCATGGCCACCAGTCTATGTTTCCCCTTACCCGCAAAATACTGTCAATGCCGTGTTGTCAGACCTAGATATCTCGAGAATCGCTATGGCAACCAAGTCTTTAATGCTGGAAGACATCGATGCTATAGTTAGGAAAGCGGTTGAGCCCCTCCATGCACAGATTGAGAATTTGAAACGAGAAAACCAAAATCTCCGACTAAAGGTGGACGATATAGAACAATATAGTCGGAGACCCTTGGCTAGGTTTTCAGGTATTGCTGAACAACCTGGAGAGGACACCAACGCGTGTATTATGAATGCGGTATCTAAAGCTGGCATCGACCTTAAACCCGAGGATGTTGAAAGGTCACACCGTGTCGGGAAGCCAAGGCAAGGGAAACCGCGCCAAATCATTGCCAGGCTAAAGGGACCCCATAGCAAGCGGAACCTCTTCAAGACCTCTAAAAGCACGACTGGTATGGAAAACGTTTCTGTGAGCGAGGATCTTACTAAAGTTCGAGATAAATTAGCATTCCTTGGCAGGAATCTGGTGAAGAGGAAATCAGTGTCACAGTCGTGGACTTGGAATGGCAAAGTTCTGGTCAAAGATCTTGTCGGCAGGATCCACACTATTAGAATGGAAGAAGACCTTGGATCACGACGAAGACGAACTGAACTGAAACTTAAACAGAACTTAGTTCATGATTTGACAGACATTTTATTGTGTTACGACAACTTTATTAGACGCAGTATTCTGCATTACACCAAAGTGTTTTTGATGCGCTATAATACTGCTGTTACGTAAATTGTGTGTGTCATGCGATATTTGATGAAATGTCGATTTTACTGGACACGCGGTATTTGAAAATGTCAACATAAATTGACATGTATTAATTAGTGATATGTAGACATTATTTGGCACACAGCATTTGGAGTTTTGTCAACCCTATATTATATTTCTGCTACACTAGTTGTATTGTCAAAGTTAACCTGTGCGCAGTTTTGTTTGTTTTTGCTTTTTATATGTCAACATCGTATATATGTCAACATTGTATATATATGTCAACATTATTTCACAAGTGGTATTTGATATTATGCGATTGTTAATATCAACATTATTTGACACGCAGTACTTTTTTTTTTTCCTTTTCTTTTCGACACGCGATAATAGGTATTACGTTAACATAGACAAACAATAATTTGGGTTAATGTCAATGTTAACTGACAAGCATTACCTGGTGTTATGTCAGCATTACAAGACACACAACGTACTTTTATTTGACACATGCTTTTACTCTCAGTATTCCAACACTTTGGTACGCTTTATTCAAATTCTCGTCACCAACATTTGACACGCAATATTTGAGGAAATGTCAACTTGATTTGACACGTGATATTTGGTATTGTCAAATGTTATGAACATTAATTGACATGTAGCAATACATGACATGTCAACATTATCTGGCACACAGTATCTGGAGTCATGCTAACATCGAAGGTTATTTTTATTACTTTATTTGTATTGTCAACATCAACCAATACGCAGTACATGTATTTGTTGACATGTCAACATTATTTAACACGAACAATTTGGGTGATGGCAATCTTAATGGATACAGTTTTTGTTGTAGTTTTTTCTCTTTTTCTTTTGACACACTGTAATTGGTGTTATGACATTATAACGTTACACGTAGTATCTGATTATATGTTAATACTTTTGATACGCAATAATTGGTGTAATGTCAACATCATTTGACACACGATATTTGGCAAAATTTGGAGTTCAGGCAACATTAGATGTCACTAAGTATTTTGTGTTATGCGAACATGTTTCGACTCGAAGTTTTCAACTTACGTCTGCATTATACGACACGCAGTATTTGGTGTTATGTCAAATAGGTAACGCAGTCATTATTGTTATGTCAACATTAATTGAGACACAGTTCTTGCTCCATATTTTTTGAAATATTTACAATTATACGTGTCGGTTGTGGTCAACAGCAAAGGAAGCATTATCTATGCTTCCATTTTTTTTCTTTTTTAATGTTAGGGTTTTGTGTTGATTTTGTGTTTTTTGTAGTTTTTCCTTCGAATGTAAATAGAATATGTACATATCCATGTATTGCGCATACTTTCCAAATCTCATATACTTTGCAAACCTGTCTCAGAATCATTTGGAATAGACATACTCTCGTTCAACAAGCCTTTGTTTATCACCCCAGTATAACCTAATGCCGTTAAATACTTTTTTTTTTTTTTTTACATAAAACGAGAGTAGGTCTATCCTATGATATTGCTACTAGATATAGAAATGTGTTTTCAAATATTTATATAATTTCTTTTGTGATAATAGTCTAATTACCAACTGTCAATCAGGCTTTACACCCGGAGATTCAACCATAAACCAAACTCGTTAGCATAGCCGATGATGTCGGTAAAGCCTTAGATTCAGGCAAAAAAAATCGAGTTGTTTTCTGTGACGTAAGCAAAGCCTTCGCCCGAGTCTGGCATCGAGGTCTCCTCTTCAAACTTTACAAATTTGGCATATCTGGTAGTTTACTAAAATGGTTCAAAGATTATCTCAATAACAGGAAACAAAGGGTGATTTTAAATAATTGTAAGTCGGACTGGGCACCTATCATAGCTGGGGTAACTCAGGGCTCGATCCTCGGTCCTCTTTTATTTCTTGTATATATTAATGACATTGTTTATGAAATCAATTCCACAATTAAGCTATTTGCCGATGATACGTCCCTCTACATAGAAGTAGACAATCCCGTTACGGCACATGCTACATTAGAATCAGATATTAATAAAATTCATGTGTGGTCCCGACAGTGGCTTGTAGACTTCATTCCCCAAAAAACTGAAACTATGATAATAAGAAGGAAACGAAATCCCATTTACCACCCCCCTCTACATATGAACAACTTTTCCAATAAATAATGTATCCTCTCACAAGCACCTTGGTGTGTACTACTCTGGAGAGGGTCCTTGGCTAGATCAAGTTAATTATATCATTGTTAAAGCCTCCTTTAAAATCAATATAATGAGATCTTTGAAATTCCAATTAGATAGACAAACTTTGCAAACTATATATTTCTCTTTTATAAGACCACTTCTCGAATATGGTTATATAGTATGGGGAAATATTCCAAAAGAACTGGAAAAAAAACTTGAAAACCTCAATGTTGAAGCTGCTCAGATAGTAACTGGCAGGACAAGTATTGACAAATTGTTCAATGAAGCAAGATGGATGAGATTATTTGATCGTAGACAAAATCGAAAAATTCTTCAATTTCATAAAATGTATTACCAATATACGCCTCAATATTTGTATAATCTTGTTCCTCACAGAGTTTCGGAGGGACATAGATATGATACAAGGAACTCAGACCATACATGCGTCACTCCAATATTGTGCAAAACTGCTTTTTATGAACAATCGTTTTTACCATCTACTATAGATCAATGGAATAAACTACCATCTGATGTTAGATCAAATCCGTCTGTTTCTGCTATAAAATCATACCTTGATAAACAGTTAAGTAGAAAAGTACCAATCCACTACACTTTTGGAACCCGTAAGGGTCAAATATACCATGCTCGTCTACTAATATTCTACTGTTTGGGAACGAGACATTGCCATTACAAGAAAATAAGGTTATCTTCCTAGCTGTCCAAGATTATATATTAAAAACAAACAGGTTTTCCTAATGATTTAATATTTCATAAACATGTATGTGCTTAAAGCCGAATTATACCTATGTAAGAACAAGTAAAACCCTTTAACAACCAAAACCCTTCACCATTAATTATCTCCTTTTCTTTCTCCTTGTTTAAACTATTGTCACTGATTGTATTATTGTATGTATTTTTCATTGGAGACAATATGCTGTCCATCCTGAATATATTTTGCAGATTATGATAAGGTGATAGACACTTGTTTTTTAGACACTTGTTTCTATTTCCTATTTTGTGTTTTGTTACAAAATGTTATAAAATATATATATATATATATATATATATATATATTGCATATTGGATCACCAATCTACGAACCCGCTACCCTCGAGGTATGAACGAACGATAGGCGGTTGCCATCCGCTCGTTTTCCTTCCAGGGGGCATTTGACCTAATGATGCCTTACTGCACAGTTGGGTCTGCTATCTCGCCTGTCTGCTGCTTCATGTCAGTATGTGTGACCAACAGCCGTTGTCAGATTAATTTTGCAGATTTATACAGTATCTTAGCCATTTAATCTACTTATTCCTCCTGCACTCACTTATTTGATAATTAAATGCATAATTCCTGCAAACCAAAAGAGACACATGCATTATTCCTGCAAACTAAAAGAGGCGACTAAGTGTGGACCCCCTGCTGTGACTGTTAGATCCATCCAGTATTGAGAGACAACTAATGCGACATTCCATAGCAAATTGGAGATTTTTCACATTTACCGGGCCAGATTTCCATATGCACATGTTCCACGTTTTTGATATCTCTCGTTGACTTACTTTATATGATAGTGCATCTAGCGCAAGAATAGGTCCTCTACATCAGCGTTCCTTGTTCGCGATGCTCTCAGCTTAATTGCTGCCTTCGGCTGTCTTTAGCCGAGGGGACTATTGGTTTTATATAATAGCTATATTTTCAATTATAGTATATCAATTTTATCTTCTTGTAATATGATGTATATGTACATGTAACTGTTGTGTTTCACTGTGTCTTGAAAAAGGAGCGGATCGCTCCGAAAATTTGACAACCTAAACTTGTCCACACTGTTGGAATTACTTCTTTGCCCCATATATATATATTGCATATATATGTATATAATTGAAATACTTGAATAAAAGAAATTTAAACTAAACCTCTCGGGTTGGAGATTTCTCTGTCACACCCTCAACCTAAGAAAAGACTCTATTAGCCTACACATAAGGCCAGTGACATTGTTGATCTGAAGATTTACGAGGCAAACATTGCCACACACAATATTGAGTTTAACAAGATTTTCCTTTGAAGCCAAAACACACGTAGATCAACTACTCCTGGCATCCTTTATTTCCTGTATGAGTTCCTGGAAGTCCTTCACAAACCAGTGTGCTCCCTGTGCGACCTTTTCCCTCACCACATTACCACCATAGCCTATAAATGCATCCTGTAAAAATATACATACATATATTACTTGGGTCTTAAAATTTTATTAGCAAGTTAATACATATAGAGATTCTTCTAAATAGATACAATTGTTCAATTGATAAAAATGAGAAAATACTTTTTTCCCTGAGGAAACTCTCAATCTCTTATATGTCAGTTCTGTGTTTAAGGAAATCATTTTATGTTTTATCAATCATCACCTGGTAAAGTAAAAAGGTAAAATAGCACCAGTGCTCTTCATCACTGTGTGACGCACAAAACTACAGCATGGCCAGTACCCAATAGAACATAAATGGAGATATGGAGTTAAAAGGTGGGTGGGTAGGGAGAGAGTCATGCCACAAGGCTTAAGTTGATATTTTGTAGTGATGGGCAATCTGTTTATAATCCTAATCGATAAGCAGTTTGTAATCCTAAGTAGAAAACCAATCCATGACTGATTGCATAATCGGTTTATAATTTTACGGGACTGAATACCTAACTAAAGTAAGAACACTAATATTACATCACTAGCCAGAGTTGTTCACTATACACTACTATTACATCACTAGCCAGAGTTGTTCACTTTACACTACTATTACATCACTACCCAGAGCTGTTCACTATACACTAGGTTCTGTTCTTTTATAATGAATGGATTTCAAGCAATTTTTATGCAGTTTTATCAATCATATAGTAGATATTATCAGGATATGACTTTCAATACATTTTTTACATTGAAAACATTTAACACTTCGATAATGGAATTTGTAATCGATAATCAGAATCGGAAAGGGCAACCCGATTAATTTTCAATTACAATCGATCATCAGCCCATCACTTATATTTTGTATTCAATATCAGAATGTGGTTTTACATTTCTTGTACATTTAGATAAGACAGTCATCCAGTTTAGTCTGATTTCCATGAGAAATAGTTATTTTACCGACATTTGAAATTTTGACAGAGTCTAAGACTGTTTCATGACCTTGGGACCAGACCTCCGTTATACAGTGAAGATATACTGGTGTTCTATGTCTCCCCTGCATCTTCCACAATCAAACATAGTATACAGTCAATAGGTCAAACATGTAGACTCTACTCACCGCTGGTGGAGAGGCTTCCATGTCTGTGGCACCGTCACCAATCATCACAAGGTTTTTATACCCAAACTTGTCCTTTAACCTTTGAACTACGACCTTTTTTCCACCAGATTCTGAGGTTGGCTGGTCCTCATCAAAACCAGCATAGTCACCTGAAAAATGTTACACAGCTATGGTAATGCACATATATTCATTCCCCGGACTAAAGTGGTTGCATTTTAATCCTCAGAATGAACAGATATATACACTGTACTGTTAGATTATAAGATACTATCTATGCATAAAAACTTTTTGATATTTCAAATACACCTTAATATATCATTTCTTTTCATCCATAAATAAATCATGGGGAAAAACTTTTTTTTTTTTTTTTTTTAAATATTTATCATATAAAATATTTTCTAAATTAAACACTAGTTACCATGGTAATAGAACTTGAGTTTATTGGCATATATGTTTTCAAACGGAACAGAGAGGATTTCAGCGGCAGGCTCTATAATGGAGGTCATTCCACCGGACACTAGATAAACTGCAATGTTCTTCTCATGTAGCACAGCCACCAGCTCCCTGGAATATAGTTACCATAGATACATAAACAGGGCCAACTGCAATGTTCTTCTCATGTAGCACAGCCACCAGCTCCCTGAAATATAGTTACCATAGATACATAAACAGGGCCAACTGCAATGTTCTTCTCATGTAGCACAGCCACCAGCTCCCTGGAATATAGTTACCATAGAAACGTTAAAAACAAGGCCACCAGCTCCCTGGAATATAGTTACCATAGAAATGTTATAAACAGGGCCACCAGCTTCCTGGAATATAGTTACCATAGAAACGTTATAAACAGGGCCACCAGATCCCTGGAATATAGTTACCATAGACACGTTAAAAACAAGGCCACCAGCTCCCTGGAATATAGGTACCATAGAAACGTTTTAAACAGGGCCCCCAGCTCCCTGGAATATAGTTACAATAGAAACGTTATAAACAGGGCCACCAGATCCCTGGAATATAGTTACCATAGAACCGTTATAAACAGGGCCACCAGCTCCCTGGAATGTAGTTACCATAGATACATAAACAAGGCCACCAGCTCACTGGAATATAGTTACCATAGAAATGTTATAAACAGGGCCACCAGCTTCCTGGAATATAGTTATCATAGAAACGTTATAAACAGGGCCAATAGCTCCCTGGAATATAGGTACCATAGAAACGTTTTAAACAGGGCCCCCAGCTCCCTGGAATATAGTTACAATAGATACATAAACAGGGCCACCAGCTCCCTGGAATGTAATTACCATAGATACATAAACAGGGTCAAAAGCTCCCTGGAATATAGTTACCAAAGATACATAAACAAGGCCACCAGCTCCCTGCAATATGGTTACCATCGAAACGTTATAAACAGGGCCACCAGCTCCATGTAATATAGTTACCATAGAAACGTTATAAATAGGGCCACCAGCTCCCTGGAATATAGGTACCATAGAAACGTTTTAAACAGGGCCACCAGCTCCCTGGAATATGGTTACCATAGATACATAAACAGGGTCAAAAGCTCCCTGGAATATAGTTACCATCGAAACGTTATGAACAGGGCCACCAGCTCCCTGGAATAGAGTTACCATAGAAACGTTATAAATAGGGCCACCAGCTCCCTGGAATATGGTTACCATAGATACATAAACAGGGTCAAAAGCTCCCTGGAATATAGTTACCATATATACATAAACAGGGCCACCAGCTCCCTGGAATAGAGTTACCATAGATACATAAACAAGGCCACCAGCTCCCTGGAATATAGTTACCATAGAAACGTTAAAAACAAGGCCACCAGCTCCCTGCAATATAGTTACCATCGAAACGTTATAAACAGGGCCACCAGCTCCCTGGAATATAGTTACCATAGAAACATTATAAACAGGGGCACCAGCTCCCTGGAATATAGTTACCATAGATACATAAACAGGGCCACTAGCTCCCTGGAATATAGTTACCATAGAAACGTTATAAACAGGGCCACCAGCTCCCTGGAATATAGTTACCATAGAAACGTTATAAACAGGGCCACCAGCTTCATGGAATATAGTAACCATAGATACATAAACAGGGCCACCAGCTCCCTGGAATATAGTTACCATAGAAACGTATAAACAGGGCCACCAGCTCCCTGGAATAGAGTTACCATAGAAACGTTATAAACAGGGTCACCAGTTCCCTGGAATATAGTTACCATAGAAACATAAACAAGGCCACCAGCTCCCTGGAATATAGTTACCACAGAAACATAAACAAGGCCACCAGCTCCCTGGAATATAGTCACCATAGAAACATAAACAGAGTCACCAGCTCCCAGGAATATAGTTACCAAAGAAACATTATAAATAGGGCCACCAGCAACTTGGAATATAGTTACCATAGAAACATTATAAACAGGGCCACCAGCTCTTTGGAATATTAAGTTACCGTAGAGATGTTAATTTCATAATATAAACAGTTGCTTACTTGATGCCTGGAGAAAAGTCTGGAGTGTGCTGAGCCACAAAGTCAGACAAGTTTTTGTGTGAAGGTTTGACGATGTTCAGTCTCTCTGTAAGAGCCACTCGGAATGATACACCTCCTCCCATTGCCTTGTTTGTCCTAAAACATACAGTATAAATAGTATACAGGGAGTGGGGAGA